TGCTCGTTCCCTGAATATACTTTATTTGAAAGTCGTAGGGCTGAAGGCGTAAAGCCCAGCTCTGCGCTCGTGAACAAGCTCGCCTTCCATCTCTGTACTTCCCTTCAAAGATGTATTCAAGCGTTTTATGATCCGTGAAGATCGTAAAACGAAGTCCAAATAAGTACAAGTAATACTTTTCTACCGCCCATACTACAGCTAGTGCCTCTCTCTGCGTCTGAGGATACATTCGTTCAGCATTTGTCAGACTTTTCGAGGCAAAGCTAATGATTCTGGGCCGCCCTGCTTCGTCACGTTGGATTAGCACCGCTCCCAAGCCTACTGGGGAGGCATCTACATAAAGCTCCGTCGTGTCTTTGGGATCAAAAAACCCCAATTTCCTTACTTTTGTAGTTAATTCCTGTCGAAGATCATCAAAAGCAGCTTGCTGACTTTCTCCAAAAGTTTCAACTTCTCCACGAATGAACTTTCGAAGGGGCTCGGTACGGGTGGACAGGTCTGGAATGAAGTGACCTACAAAATTCACAAGCCCTAAAAAGCTCCGAACTTCCTCTTTTGTCTCTGGCGTTCGGAAGTTTCGAATTGCCTCAATTTTCTCTTCTGAGGGACATATTCCCAGGGCACTCACTTTGAAGCCCAGTATTTCCAACTCTGTCACTCCAAACACGCACTTTTTCACATTCAGTTTCGCATTGTTACTTTCCAAGACGGACAGGACTTTCTGCAACCTGATGTCGTGTTCCTTGCGCGTGCTTCCGGCGATTACAACATCGTCTATGTAAACTACAACTCCGTCGATCCCAGCCAACATTTCCGTCATCACCCGTTGAAAAATTTCCGGGGCGCAGTTTATCCCGAACATGAGTCGCTTAAAACGCATCAACCCTTGGTTTGTCATGAACGTTGTTACTGAACGGGAATCCGGATGCAGCTCTATATGGTAATAAGCCGAGGTCATGTCCAGTCTTGAAAAATATGTTGCTCCACGAAGTTTGTTTAAGAAGGTGTCAATCACAGGGATCGGATAGTGCTCTCGTTGAATTGCCTCATTAGGGAACTTCATATTTACACAGAGCCGAACGTCATCTTTACCCTTGGGTACAACCACTAATGGTGAAATCCAATCAGGTGGGCTTTTAACCGGCTCAATAATATCCTGTTGGAGCATTTCCTGAATCTTCTGATCAACCTTATCTTTCATGGGTTCTGGAATCCTGAGATAAGCGATCTTCCTAGGTGGGATGGAGGGATCGACTGAGAGCTTCACCTGCACATTGGGGAACTTCGGGAAGGGGCTCACAGTTGCTTCTACTTGGTGGACATCTAAACCAACTTTTAAAACATTCAGCTCTTCAGCAGTTGTTTTACTCAATAATGACTTGTTGGCACCCTCTATCACGAAAAACTCCGCATAAGTAGTCGGTTTTGAGGGATTGACAGAAATTTTGGACTCAAGAATGGCTAGAACACGAAGCGGTTTCTCACTAGCGTATGAAGAGAATTGGCGGTTACAGCGGACGTTTCGCTTAAAGACTTCTACTTTGTTCCTCTGGAGTTCTGTCCAAACCTCCTCAGTAATGGTATTAATCGCAGCTCCAGAGTCAATGAGGAATTCAACGGGAAAACTGTTGATCATACACATTATGATTCCATTGTTGTGGGAGTATGAGGTCACCTAGTAAAACAATGTTTTATTGTTAATCTCTTTTGTTTTATTCCTGACAATTTCTGTTGCTGAGTTTACATACTGCATCAACTTAACTGGGATCCTACAAACCCTCATTGAAAATGTGAACAATCAATTTACCTGTTGAATATCTTCCGGCACTGGACGACGAGGTAGTTCTTCGTTCCAATCATCTCCCGAGGTGATGTTATTGGCTTCCTCCTTCGGTTTCTTCCAGGTCTCATGACGACCGAATCGCTTGTAGATTCCCGCCCGGCATTTCCTACCGAAGTGGCCTATTTTCCCGCAACTATTGCAGCGAGCCTTCCGGGCTGGGCAACTTTGATCCTCACTCGAATGACGGTACGAACCACAACGATTGCACTCGCTTCCCATTCTTCTCGGTCCCGACTGGAATGGCCGTCCTTTGGCTTTACCTCGGAATGCTGTTCTTGTACCCCACTCTTGCTTCACCGCCGCAACCACGGCTGGTTCTTCCTTCAATACCTTTGCTTTCTCCTTCTGCTTAAGGAGCATCTCTCTGTTCATAGCGTAGTTGGTGATCTCGTCAAGGTTGAGTGTACCTTCGAGCCCTTTGTCTCGGACCCGTTCATCAAACGCTGCCATGGTCACTTGCTGCAAAATCTCGATTTCTTCTCGATCTTGAAATTCGCAGCGTGCTGCCTGAGTACGCAACCTCAGTAAAAATCGACTGAATGGTTCAGATTCCGCTTGCTTGAGTGTACGGAATAATTCGAGTTCGATTCGAACATTACGCTTCCCGATGAAAAATTTACTCAGCCTCAAGACCGCATTGTCGTACTCAGGAATTTCTTTCGGTATCAAGGGTACCGGAACCGGTTCAGGGTATACCTCTTCTGGCACCGGGCGCAAATTGTAAAAAATGCGCTGCAATCCACGTCCTCCACGAGCTAGCAGCAATACTAGTTTCTCATGCTGGGACTCGATACGTTTCATCTCCAGAATAAGCTCGAAGGAACGGTACCATTCCTCCCATTCCCTTCTGAGGTCTGATGAATCGACTGCCTCGTTGAAGGGTTGCAGCGGCCAATCCATATCGTCCATGATTCTACAGAACCGAGAAAAAGATAAACACAATAGTTGCTATTACTTTTCCACATCGACCACATTATTGGTTTTCATAAACAAATGTTTATGTCCTTTTATGTTTCCCCACTGTCATTGGAACCATCGATTACTTTAAACATTCATATACATACGTTTTAGACAAGCTTTCTTAGGCCCCGTTGAATGTTTCTTGCACATACACTTTCCTAACATCAGCTAGTCTTTTCACTTCATATACTACGTTTAATCACGGGAGAGACAGCAAATTTTCTCACTATGTGATTTGCCAAGTATGAAAGCACCCTCTTAACTGGGTCATAAATAATTATCCCATAACAAACAAAAGCAACACATATGCATTTTGCAATTGAATTGCATATCTTACAGCTATCGCTTATAGCACATGTGTGCGTTTTTCGTGTTTTGTGAGAGTATAGGTAAAACATTGTTGGCAACAGAAAAATGACCGCTTAGCACCCCCGTGCGTTCAATTTAACAACTTTTCCGCTATGGCTCGAATGGACTCGTGGATGCTCCACGCTACGGTAAGAGTGCCAGTCTCAGGGTCTCAGTTTATTTTCTTAGACAGTGTGCTACACTCTCTGTGAGTGGACCCACTTGTTTCTTATGTGCTACAATTCTGACAAGATCGGACTCACATTTCCAATTGCTGACTGCGTTGAACGTATTGTCTTACTCGCTCAGCTTTCTGTTGCTGGACTCAGTTTACTACGACGTTCAAACGGACTCTCTCTCTCTCTCTCTATGGTACTGCCGGGCTCGTGGATACTTCACGCTACGATAGGACTACCAGGCTCTTTTTTTTGCTATAGCGTGCTACACTCTTTGAGAGTGGACTCTCACTCTATTCATCTTTCGTATTAAAATGCCTGTGAGATCGGACTCACACTTCCACTTGCTGACTGCGTTGAACGTTCGGTCTCACTCGCTCAGCGTTTCGTTACTGGACTCGGTTTGCTACGACGTTCGAACGGACTCTCTATCTCTCTCTCTCTCTCTCTCTCTGCTATGGTACTGCCGGGCTCGTGGTTGCTCCACACTACGACAAGTATCAGTCTGAATCCATTTATTTTTCCATCATTCCGCCGCTGCCAACTTTGCCTCTCCATGCTTCGTGCCGCGATGCCTATCTGCCGGGCTCACACCCGCTGGACAACTGCACGCAATGTTCGATCTCACTCGCTCAGCATTGCTGCTATTTCATTCAAAATACAAAACGAAAAATGGCCCCTGTCTTCAGTGGTCTGCGTCTGTTCAATTATTATCACGAGGCACACGGTACTACACTGTACAATGATGATCTTACACCCCAACTATCACTAGAACTCAAGCTCAGAACTCAGAACTCTCTTCACCTTAAGACCATCGCTTGTTTCCTTGATTACATTCAACCGACAGCATACGTACATTTCCACCAGACAATCAAGGCGGCCATATTGTTGATAAAAAAAATCATTTCAAATTTCCATAACAGAAAAAAAAATATTGTACTGACACTATTATCACAATTTCCCACTCAACTCAATATCCATTTCATCATTTGACCACGATTTTAGAGGAAAAACAAATTTCTAAGCACTTACATTTTTCACTCACCTATCGGCTGCGCCAATTGTAGGATCCAGTGGTGGAGGTCTTCGATATTTATTGAAAAAACACTTAATACGTCTGTTCGTCTTCAATTCTGTATTTCAACTGACTCCCGTTTATAATTCACCCTCCATATTGCCTTCGTGCCCTCACCTTCTTACTCTTTTAATCTGTCTCTCGTAAACCATCTCTTTCCCTCTTTTTGGTCACAACCCTACATTTATCAGCACTGATGAAGGGTACGATAGATGGAAATATGAAGGGACTACCGAATTCATCGAGTTTCAGAAAATATCGAGTTATATAATATCGAGTTGGGGGGTCTCCCCTTAGCTCAGTCGCAACTACAAAGCAAGATCATGCTGGAGGTGACTGGGTTCAATTCCCGGTCCGGGCTAGGAATTGTTCGGGTTGGCAAATTTCTAGACTTCCCTGGGAATATGGTATAGTCGTACTTGCCACACAATTATACTGATGCAAAAATGGCACCTTAATAAGTTGTGGATAGTTGACTGTTTATCGCAATACCGATAAATACCGATTTAAAAAAAAAATGATGATACCAATATTCGAAAATAAATTCTGGCAATTCTGATAAACCAGTACAAGTATTGCAAATACCCTTTTTCATCAGATCTACGTTAATTACCTAACGAACGAACTATTCCTGGTGATGGGTTTCACTGAACGGACTGACGAGCCTCATGAACATCAACGTTTGCGAGCAATGGCAATCGAATGGAGTTGTCGAATGGGGTCTGACATTTGCAGAAAAGGAGCACATCAACTGATGCTTCAAGATCTAACAGGAGGAACTGAAAAGCTTCCATCGTACATCAAACATAGTATCTACTGTGGAGGACTCATGGAAGCCACCGAGGAAGAATTCGTAGCTGTATTCCGTGCTTATCAAAACTCTGCCGACCTCGCTGAGAGGGCAGTGTACATCTCCGCTCTGGGATGCAACGAAAATAGCACATTTTTGTTTGACTACCTCACAGTGACTTTGGGCGGTGGCCAAGAAGTTCGACTGAGATCTGGAGAATGGTTTCTGGTCATGCAATCCGTCTACTCCAGATCAAATATTGGTTTTGAAGCATTCAAAACTTGGATGTCGGTGTACAGCGATACCATCTTAAATGTGTAAGTAACATTTTTTTTACTATTAAATATCGTTATAAATAACAAAACCAAATTTACAGACATGGGGATAAACCAGAATTCCTCGCAATCATGGCTGATATTAAAAATCGGATGAGTAATTTAGGCAACTTCGAGCAGGTATAGTCAAAAGATAAACGTTGGTAAACAATATAAACTGATTTGTCATCCCGTCCTTTCACAGCTTATCGCATTGCTGAAAATATTTCAGTCCCAGACGTAGCTACAGGTATCAACATAATGGCTTCTAAACAATCCATTGGAGGCACAACTGATCAGACGATGATTAGCAGAGCAGAGATAACTCCCGTGCAACACGAGCACTAGACTAGATAAGATATTCTTCAAAGGGGTAATAAATTGCTCTTGAAAATCTATAAAATAAACCAATGGAGATGTGTCCCATCATTGTCCGAACAGTCCCAATCAAAGTGAGGTCAAAAAATGTTGAAAGTATTTGCGCTGCTGGCGCTACTTGTCGGGATTTGCTCGGCAAGTCCTGTGGATCGCAATTCCCGTGAATTTACCACCTACCGACTCCCGAACACAACCATTCCAACGCACTACGATCTATATCTGGATACAAATGTGCACCTGGCAGATTTGGCCTACAGCGGTAATGTGAAGATTAATATCCGAGTGCTGGAGAGCACATCACAGATCGTGCTACACAGCACGCGAAGTGTGATTGGCCGGTTAGAGTTACGTAATAGCAATCAGCTAGCGGTGCCAGTGAAGGGGCATGAAGTCGATGAGGACAAACAATTCTTGATCGTCAACACCAATGTGGAACTGCCAGCCGGTTCGACATACGTGTTGGACATTGACTTCACCAACAGTCTCAATCGGACCGATGCCTCTGGATTTTATCGGTCTTCGTACGTCAATGCAGCCGGTGAAACCAAGTACGTCTATGCAAAAGTTCTATGTATTGATAAATGATACTTAACCAGTTGAATATTAGGTATCTAGGTGTAACACAGTTCGAGCCATGTGATGCACGGTCGGCTTTCCCTTGTTTCGATGAACCTGGAATCAAGGCAACCTTAAACGTTCAAATCGCCTGTGGTGTCGAATACAGTGCTAAAGCTAACGCTCCAGCTCTTGGCATAACTTTATTGTAAGTAGCGATCTGATATGTGGAAAATATTCATTCTCAATGCCGATTTTCAACAGACCGGGAGGTAAAAAGCTCACCACATTCCAAACGACTCCGCGCATACAAACCTATCTGATAGCGTTCCTAGTTTCGGACTTTATCACCGAGCGACAGGTTGTTTCCGAACCACGACAACTTGTCGTTTCTACACTCGCCCGTCCAACTGCAAGCCAGCTACTAACATACTCTGTAAGCGCTTCGGTACAATTCCTAAGGGAACTGGAAATCTACTTTGATCAAAGTTACGCTATGTCAAAGATCGATAACGTGGCCGTCGCCAACATCGATTTCGCCGCCGGTGCCATGGAAAACTGGGGTCTGGTTACATATCGCGAATCCACAATTCTGTTTGATCCGGAAACGCAGGGCGAAAGTCAACAGCTGAGCGTCGTCGGAATCGTTGGACATGAATACACCCATCAATTCTTCGGAAATTTGCTTGCCCCCGAGTGGTGGTCGTACTTGTGGTTGAACGAAGGGTTCGCACGGCTGTACCAGTATTATGTGTCGGAGTTTGTAAGAAAAACATATTAAAACGATTAGATACTTGGGGTTTAATGAGTGTACATTTCCAGAGTCATCCGGAATTGAAAATGCGTGATCGCTTCGCAGGTGTACTACAGGCAGCTTTGACTACCGATGCGAGCCCAACGGTTCGACCCATGACTTACTACGTAGAGACACCTAGCGAGATCGGCAGACTCTTTGATAATATTGCCTACGCTAAAGGTAAGGTTCTGTTATTTTACTCTGCATACAACTTTTCTTCTTCTTCTTTCGCTTTATTACGTCCCTACTGGGACTTTACGCTGGTTTTAAACATACACTCATAAAACTCCACACGTCTGATCGATGAGTTTGAACACTTGATATTTCATATGCACAATCACATTTATTTTAAGTGTATTTCACCATGGTTCAATGTGTTCTACACTTTGATTTCTTGTGTTTCAAACTATGAAATGTTGATAATCTTTCTCTATCAATTCAAGTGTATTGCACATTGAATCGCACTACTGTTCAAAACAGATGGATTTGAAGTGTTTTGCATTTCAATGCTATGTGAAATGCTTGTTCTGCAAGGTAAACATTGAAAACATGAGTTGTGACTTCATACTTATCAACCAGCCTCATATATGAGAACAACCATGGGCCAGTGAGATTGAACGAAGGCAACTGCAACAGCACCACCCCAACAGTCCAGGATCAATTCCCAAATCAGACCCATTAATTTAAAGGCATGTGTATGCTCTGCCCTCAGGCAGCTTTGTTTATATATTTGTCGATTAAATTTTTGAGTCGGTAAAGTAGAAGTCGATAAAGTAGAATATTGTAGAAAATTGAGCTATAATGTGCAAAGCTATTGATATCAGCATGTTAGGCCCATAGAATCCAAGTGCGTCACAATTCGAACTAATAGTTTTGAGGCATGGTTCACACATGAAATGTATGTGTTTCTTAATAAGTGCAAAATTAAGTGTGAGGTACATGATGATGACGTGTGAAATTTTTTGAGTGTATAGGCTGTGAACCATTTGCTGAGTTAAATTTAACTCGTGGTTAAAAGTGACATTTCGAAAGTTATTTTCTCTGTTCGAAAATCTCCGTGCTGTCGATCGACCGGTTTTCAAGCCACGGTTGTCCAAATTTAACTTCTTGTCTGTCAGAAATAATCATGCTCGGATAGCAGGGTTCAATAGTTGTTGATTGACAGCTTTCTATAGATATCTTTGACGTTAAGGCTCTGAACCATTTAGGCTGTGAACCATTTGCCGAGTTAAAATTAACTCGTGGTTAAAAGTGACATTTCGAAAGTTATTTTCTATGTTCGAAAATCCCCGTGCTGTCGATCGACCGGTTTTCGACCCACCGTGGTCGAAATTTAACTTCTTGGAGCCTAAGGCTCTGAACCATTTGGTGGATTATTTTAACTTTTGGTTAAAATTTGACAGATGGAAAGTTATCGATGAACCCTGCTATCCGAGCATGGTTATTTCTGACAGACAAGAAGTTAAATTTTGACAACCGTGGTTGAGTTCTGCTCGAAAACCGATCGATCGGCAACACAGGGATTTTCGAACATAAGAAATAACTTTCGAAATGTCACTTTTAACCACGAGTTAAATTTAACTCGGCAAATGGTTCACAGCCTTAGTGGATTATTTTAACTTTTGGATAAAATTTAACAGATGGAAAGTTATAGATTAACCCTGCTATCCGAGCGTGGTTACTTCTGACAGACGAGAAGTTAAATTTTTACAACCTTGGCTAAGTTCTTCTCGAAAACCGGTCGACCGACAGCGCAGGGATTTTCGAACATAGAAAATAACTTTCGAAATGTCACTTTTAACCACGAGTTAAATTTAACTCGGCAAATGGTTCATACACCGTTCGAAAAATTCATGTAAATTTCTGCGATATATAGCGCACATAAAATTAACGCTAGATTTGGCATAAATGTACGCGATATTTCGTGTAAATTTAAGCGCAATATCGCATAAATTAGTAATATTGTATGCAAGCTTGTAAACGATTTCGCTGTTTATGCCAAGTATAGCTCAAAATTAAACGAAGGGAGATTTTACGCGATAGTTAAAATTCAGAATTTTTTTCTGTGTAGCATAAATAGTCTTATACAGTAATAAGCCTTTTTGTGAATCTTTAAATGGTTAGGCCCTTTTTGTTAAGCCGTTGTGCTTGTCATCATAAATTGTAGGCCCTTTGCTAAGCCTTTTCTTAACGTCAAATAAATCATCGGCCCTGCCTCAAGCAGTAGGGCCTAGCTTTGATTTGAAATTTTTCAATCATCGGCCCTTGTACGTCGCTAGGCTTATGAATGGAACCTCATCGAACGAAAAAAATATATGTTAGGCCCGAGGTTAGGCCGTTTTAGCATGAATGATTGGAAAAATTTCGTGGATCGGCCGTTTTTAAAATCAAGTTATTTTTAATGATTTTTATCGATAATGCGGAACATTCCTATACGACTGGTAGCTAATTACCAGTGCTACAGAATGGTATCAAAAATCGGTTTGTTTACATTTTGACCATAGGCCCTTTTCAAATGTTACGCGAGATTTCTGACAAATAAGAAGTTAAATTTTGAAAACCGTGGCTGAGTTCTGCTCGAAAACCGATCGATCGGTAACACAGGGATTTTCGAACATAAGAAATAACTTTCGAAATGTAATTTGTAGCCATGAGTTAAATTTAACTCGGCAAATGGTTCACAGCCTAAGGAGACTTTCAGTCCAAGATTGGTTCGTCTCCGAAATTAGAGGTGGGTATTATTTTCGTACGCCTAAAAGCGGAATTTTGTTTCGCTTAGGGCAGAAAAATTCGAGTTGAATTATTTCCATGTTTTCGAAATGTAACAGAATTCTGTGGAGCTTGATTTCATAACTTTTCAAAATTAACTTATAAATGATTTTCAACTTTTCGAAAGTCTCGATTTGCCTAATATCAGTTCCAATATGTGCCTGTAAATCGCGTGATACTTACTACCTTCGCTAATCACGCTGTTCAGTGCTGTCATGGCAAATTTAGACCTGATAATTCACTGATTATAGATGTGAGCACACCGTCCTCCTCAAGTCCATGCACCCCTTTAGAGAGTGTGCATAATTATAAAATAGGAATGTATAACTGCTTGTACATGCAATTCTGTTCCCTCCAATTGACACTGGGTATGGGTAAAACTTGTCTACAATCAGCTTTCCATAAAACGTATAAATACTAACAGCGAAGAGTGCCATTTTGTAAGTGCCTGTTCGTTTTATTAGACATAATTGATATAAGATTGATTTTGATAAGCCAAACCCCTAATCACTGTTCTATCTCACAATGCTGTTTTCACTGTCATCATTCACAAATAACACAGTCAGTTATTATCAGATTCATAGAAAATACATGAAAACCCTGGAATTTTCCTGAAGCTCTCGGAATTTTTCTTGAATCTCTCTGGACTTCCTCGAAACTCTCTTGACTTCCCTAAAGTTCATTGTACTCGTCTGAAGTCCTGCTCTCTCGGAATTTTAAAGTTCCCATAACTTTCCTGAAGTAAATGCAACTGTTCCGAAGTTTTCGAAACTACTCGGTTGCTTACCGAACATCCCTTAACATATTTTGACTTTCAATTGTTGTATAAGGACTTCCCAAAATATCCTGCAATTTTTCTGAAATTCTAGCAAGTTCCAGAAGTTTTAACAATTTCCTCAAAGTTATCGAAACTTCTTTAACATTTCTGTAATTTCCCTGAATCTAATGGAACTGTCCTAAGGTTCTCTGATCTTCGCTGAAGTTCTTGAAAGTCTCCTAAAGTTCTTGGTACTGCCCTGAACCTAATAGAACAGTTTTAAGAATCTCTAGGCTTCATTCAGGGTGGCCAGACCTACCGATTTATCGGTAGTCCTACAGACTTTCGGGATGCCTACCGATTCACAGACGAAAGGTTAAAAACTACCGATTTTTAACTTTTCCTACCGAGAATCACAGATTTTTAGTAATTTTGAAAAATGTTCAATACCTATGTTTTGTTTTCCGTGTAGTCAGAACTAGAAATATTGATTTCGACACGTTTAAAGCTAAGAGAAGAGGAGATAATACCTGGGGAGGGACGTGCTGAAAAAATCAGCCAGATCATTCTTGTATGAAATTGGTTCCAAACGTAAACAAACCCTGTAGGTTTCTTATGGCTTGTTTACGTTTGGAGCCAGTTATGCGAGGTAGGCGACCATTGTTCGTATTTGACAGCCACCTCTCCCCCTTGGATAATACGGGGGCGAAAACGAACCACTTTTCTGTCAAACGCGAACCAGCTCGTGATTGGCCGATTTGAAGTGCGAAAGATAGAGATAGAGATAGATATAGATAGAGATAGAGATAGAGATAAAAAATAAGAGTCTCCTCTTCCTCTTAGGTTTAAAGGAGAAGAACTGAAGGACAGTGCATTGTTCTGAAGCAGAGCTCCCCCCCCCCCGCTCACAAAGGTTTCAAGTTTCGGGAAAGCCTTCTTGAGACGGCCTACCGATAACTACCGATAAAAGTTTTGAGAAGCTACCGATAATGAAAAAAATAATCTGGCCACCCTGGCTTCATTGATAACTATTGAACTTCGCTGGAGCACTTAAAACTTTTATGAAGTTTTCACGTCTCTGAAGTTTTCTGGGCTTCTTGGAAATTTGGAAGCATCCCGCAACTCTTGAAACTGCCATGAATCATGCGGAACTCCTTCTAAAATGTTCCTGAGTTTTGCTGATGTTCGTGAAATATTCCTGAAATTCTGGGAGTTCCCCTGAAGCTCTACTTCTTCTTCTTGTTCGCATTTCAAGCTTATTTCTTATCGCATATTAGCTTATTACGTGCTCTCAACTTAGTGTTCTAGATGCAGTTCCACAGTTATTAGTTGATAGCTTTCGATCATAGAGGTAACTCTAAGACTAGAAGGTCCCGAAATAACGTGCTCAACTTTTTGGCTCAGCTCTGGTACTCTCTTCGGTCCCAAGCTAATCGATTCACCCCTCGAAACATAGGAAAAACCAATAACCCCTCATTTTATCTGTCAAACTTTCATAGCTAATCAAAACAAACATTGCGTAGTACTAGAATTTCGACTAGAATGGGATACGTTAATCGTTTGCTTGGGACCAATAGGCTAGTCAAGTAGTGAGCCAATTTAAAATCGTTAGTTTCGTATTGATTGTTGTTTCGATGCCTGTACCATTTTTGCATTGTCTAGCAAGCACAATCATACCAACAATCAATACGATTTTAAATTGGCTCACTACTTGACTAGCCTATTGGTTCCAAGCAAACGATTAACGTACCCCATTCTAGTCAAAATTCTAGTACTACACAATGTTTGTTTTGATTCGCTATGAAAGTTTGACAGATAAAATGAGGGTTTAGTGGATTTTCCTATGTTTCGAGGGGTGAATCGATTAGCTTGGGACCGAAGATAGTACACGGCGAATGAGAACGACTCAAATTTGAGTTTAGTTCACTCATAATCGCCAAAAGTGCAGGAACTCAGCGATGAGTAAAATTTGTCCCATGGTTTCCTGTGAAAAAGCTAAAAAATGAGGAAATTGACGAAAATTTTATTCAGTCTCGGAGTAGTACCAATAGACTGAGTGAATCCAATCTTTACTTTTCTCAAATTCACGAATTTTTCCCTGGAAAATCCTGGAAAAACCTGGGAAAACATGAGACAAATTAACTCATCGCTGAGTTCCTGCACTTTTGGCGATTATGAGTGAACTAAACTCAAATTTGAGTCGTTCTCATTCGCCGTGTACCAGAGGTGAGCCAAAAAGTTGAGCACGTTTCTTCGGGACCTATACTAGTCTTAGAATTACCTCTATGATCATACTCTATGCCCAGGAAAGTCGAGAAATGTTTCAACGCGACAAATTCTTTGACTGAACCGGGAATCGAACCCAGCCACCTCCAGCATAGTTTTGCTTTGTAGCTGTGCCTATACCGATTGAACCCAGTGGATACAACTAATTTGACTATATTCTGAAATATTACAGCCGCAAGCGTTCTGCGAATGCTCAACTACGCCGTTACCGAGCACACTTTCCAGAAGGGCCTACGATATTACATTCAACAAAAGTGAGTATCCCTACGAACAGTATGAATTTCGGTTTGTTCAACCTTCAATTTCCAAAAACAGCAAAGACCACGGAGTAGTGAACGAGGAGAACCTATTCGATAGTTTGGAGCAAGCAGTTAGAGAAGATGCCCAGCTTCCACAGAGCTTAACTATGCATGAGATTTTTCGATCTTGGTCACGTCAGCCCGGTGCACCGGTGGTAACAGTCACCCGTGTCGGTGATACCAATGAGTATCTCTTCAACCAGGAGCGTTTCTACAGCACTCCTCAAGAAGCCCCAGAACAGCAGTCGTGGTGGATTCCGATTTCTTACTTTACACCCAGCAGCAATGGACAGTTCAATTCAAGTGCCGCCTTATGGATGCCCCCATACGTGACGGATGTAAGCATGCATATCAATCTGGTCGAAAACGACTTTGTACTTGTCAATCCGCTAGCCAGAGGCTACTACCGTGTAAACTACGACCCCCTAACCTGGGAGAACATCATCTACAATCTGTACGAAAATACCAACGCATTCCATCGCTTGTCGAGATCTCAGCTGATCGACGACTCAATGAACCTAGCTCACGCTGGAAAACTAGATTACTACACTGCTTTCAAGGTGTTCGATTACCTCCTCGATGAATCCGATTTCCTCCCATGGAGCACCGCTTCCTCCAATCTCAGATTTTTGCAGCGTATGCTACGGCACGACAGCGTGGCGTCGGAAAATCTGAAAAGCTACAGTTCAATGTTGGCTTCAAATCTTCTGGCCACGTACGGCTTCGACCCAATCAAGGGTGAATCGGCTGACGACGAGGACGCTCGCTTGATCGCTTTGGAATGGGCCTGCGGTAACGACAAACCCTGCCAGACGGAAGCTACTCAACGACTCAGTAAATTGCGAACGAAGGCTGCATCATTCGCCATCGTATCTAAATCGGAGCAATTGATTATTTGCAGTCAGCTACGCAAGGCGACTTACGATGATTTTTCTGCAATTCTTTCAAATTTGAAGAACACTCCCAATTCTCGTTCTCGCAGCTATTTGATCGAGGCTGCATCTTGTATCGAGAATAGAAACGCAATCAATGCTTTCGTGGACTCTCTGAAGTCAAATGATTTCGGGGCAGCGGAGAAAACACAAATCCTCCAAGCCATCTACAGTAACTCTCTGGGTGGTTTGGATGCCATAATTGACATGTTCGATTCCTCGGAAAATATTGCCTTTGAAATGTAAGTGGTACATTGCCAATTATAGACAAAATCTTAAATTGTATCGTTTTATTATTTCCAGGAACATCGATCGGCGTCAGTTGTATACCTTGCTGGAGGACATTGCTGAGTACACGGTCGAACCGCAGGCTGCCGCACGATTGATAAACATCGTTAAGAGGGAAGCACCCACTCAACTGGTCACCACAATCCAAGCCAAACTGCACGCGAACCAAAGCTGGATCCAAAGAAACGCAGCCATTGTTTCCACCATGCTGAAGAACTCGCCTCAGATCGACATGTGATGCGATGCGGCACACCCCGACGTACTGGCTTAAGATTGTATTCAATAAATAAAGTTGATTGTTTTAATCAGATTTGTCTACATCGGTGTTTTAATTGGTTTTGTCCAAACGGTAGTGGCGGCTGCCGAACCAGATAAGACAATAAACGGAGAAAGCGATAAGATCTGATACGAAATGTAAAACATGGATTTCTGTCAGATAAGATAGAAAGTTTCCATGGCTTAAGCCATCTGATCGGAAAGCTATAAATTGACGCTAGACGCTAAGCAGAGAATTAGTATAGCTTTGGCCGGGAAGCTAAAGCGTGTGCGGTTAGGCTTACCATGAAGTGGAAGACATTTTACTTGACGGTGGCAATTCTAGCCTCTATGTCTATTTGCAAGGCATTTGAAAGCTTCCGTTTGCCAAATTCCACGATTCCAACGCATTACGATCTTTTTATTGATACTGAAATTCACAACGACAACTTGGACTACAATGGAACAGTGAAGATAAGCATAAACGTTCTGGAAGATACCAAGCAAATTATTTTGCATAGTTCGCGAAGTACCTTGGTGGAGCTTGTGCTTAAGGATGACAATCAGCTACCCATTACGGTGATAAATCATGAGTTCGAAATTGAAAAGGAATTCCTCATTGTGCATGTTGCTAGTGCTCTCAAGAATGGCAGTAGAGTAGTACTGGAAATCGATTTCTTGAACAGTATAAACAGAACCGATCAAGCTGGGTTCTATCGAACGTCGTATAACGACGACAACGGCACGCTCAAATACGCCGGTCTCACGCAGTTTCAAGCCTGTGAAGCCAGATCTTCTTTTCCGTGCTACGATGAACCGGGCATCAAAGCCACATTTGATGTACGAATCACATGCGGAGTAGACTACCACGCCCGATCGAATGCCGAGATTGCCAGTGTTGCCATACTGTGAGTAAGCTTTTTTTTCAGTGCTGGGTCATTAGGTCGAATGGGTCGTTGGGTCTTAAACGAGAAGTGTAATGAAATATGATGACATTGACGTGACTACTTGAGCGTTTTGATCTTTATATTTTCCGATTATATTTCTAGAAAATATAATGTACAGTTCGGAGTATCCTGCCTAAACTTTGCTATTTTTTTAAATGTAAAATGAACGCAAAAAAAGCTGAAATTTTGCTCGTTCGGATCTTTTACATGCTTAAGGTTTTTTTTTTTTTTTACTAAAATGCCTGTTCATTATGCTTTTGAGTTCGATTTTTTTCCGCCACCCGAAAAATATGGCTCCATGATACACACTCTAAAAAATCATCACGTGAATGCTATGTGAAAAATCACGTAACCTCTTTAACAGCCCACTTCGATCACGTGGCTCACGTCAATGTCAAATTAAATTTTGATAAAATTTATGTGATTTTCATGTTCGTTGATGCTAAGGGAATTTCACGTAAAAAGTAAGTGATAATCATGTACACTCTACAACATATACACGTGGATAATCACGTAGCTCATTCGAATGCTTCAACTTTCATGTTAACATGATGGTATTAAATTGATAAATATATCATGTCATGTTCACTGGAGCTGATGGTGAATGAGACAACATTTTCACATCAAACTTCTATGTGCCGTTGTGTGATTGTGGTGTGGTTACGTAAAATGAGTTTACGTGATTTACATGTATGAAAAAGTGATTCAATATGGCGGCATCGGTTTTATTAGTGCATACTGCAACTGTTTGAAGGTATTTCTATATTATTTCGCTTTATTTGAAATCAGTCATACTGATCTTTAAATTTATTTCGATTTCAGAGGCTGGATTACAAGATACAATTTACGGGCATTTTCCGAAGGTCAATTTAGCCTGAATCGTTATTAAACAGTGCAAACGGCTATTGCATCTGAATCGAGATCTGAATTTTCATGATCAATTAAGTGTTGGAAAAGCGAAATGTTTAGTATTAACGTTTCAATGACATACTTGACGTATTAATGAAAATGCTAACAATGTTTAAATATTCTTTTCTTGGACAAAATGGAAAACAGTATTAGTTAGATCCGGTAAAGATCACTTCAAAATCACGTCAACATTACGTGCAAATATATTCCAATTATAGTGGAAACCACGGAACGTAAACGTAAGATGAACAGTATTTTCCAGTAAATATCATTTCAAAATCACGGAAACATTACGTGATAACCGCTTCCAACTTAAGTGGAAATCACGTTATATTTACTTTACTGTTCACGTTGACCGCTACATGGGAATATTTTTGGCTATATGGTATTACCGTAAATGTTACGTGAAGAGTAATATGGACGAAAGCTTGTAGCCTTTGCTCCATGCTGTAAATATTAAACTAGTAATAAATAAAATTTGCACGAAAAAGATCTAATCCATACGCCAAAAACTATGCCAGTAGCGAAACGACACTAGCTGATTTACGTTAAAATTGAAATGCCTCGCGAGTAACGCCACTCGAGGGAAACCTTCGGGAAAGTTGGGGAAAGAGAGAGTGTGGCTACACCCGACTTTGAACGAAGGGTCGACGATCAGAATAATCTCTCGCATTACCGATCTCGTTCGAAGAAGTTTGCGGGAAAATCGAACTTCCGTTAAGTTCGGCCGAGGTCACCTTCCCTAATCTGAGGGTCACGGTTTCGTTTCACTTTGGTCCGAACCGCAGTCTACAGTGGAACCCGAGCAAAGTCCAGCATCAAAATGACAGCAAATTGAAATCAAGTTTTGATATCAACATCAAACTGAAATTATAATTTTATTTCAGTTTACGCAATTGACAAATTTGATACCAAATTTTGTTTTCATTTTGCTGTACATTTGCTCTTCAAAAATATGTTGTTGCGGGTTTGTTTTCATTGCCTTAGCATAACATCAAATTGAATACTTGTTTTGTTATCAACAGAAAAATTGATATCAAATTAAGTTTTCAGTTTGCTTTCACTGATAGCTGAACTAGTTTTCAATGTGATGTCACAGGAAGATTGGTTTGCTCTCAATTTTGATATTTTAACCGTTAAAACGACCAAAACGACAACATCCTGAATAATCATTATCAACGAAATCACAACATCAAATTTAGATTTCAATTTGATCTCAGACTTTGCTTGGGAAGTGTGTCGTTTTGTTCACGTTAAGTTATAGTTTTGTATATTATAGCAAATCATAAGCAAAATGTAGTGTGCGGTATAGGTTAAATTTTGTGTGCATAGAAAAACAATCTAGGTCAGCCGACGACCACATCCAACTTCCCATGACATCATCTGCTTTCCCGGGGCGAAAGATCCCGGCAACCGTCACCTTGTCGGGTGGAAAGCGATTGAAATTCTCATCGCGGATCGGGGCTTGGTGGATACCAACTGCCATTGTTGGAGAGATCACCGTCCACCCACGTGGAAATCGTTGGCCGTCCAACGGTCGAACATCATCGTCGCTGCCGATAACAGCAGCGCAGCAGTTATCCAGAGTCCGTTCCAATTTTTTTGTTGAGTGTGGCGTCCGGCGAAGGCGCCACGGAGGACCTTTTTTGCCGACCAAAAGGTCGAAGAGCATGTTTTGCTAATATGTGGACAAGTCCAATGATTCAATGGTTGGGTGTAGGCATATAAATCGTGCGCACGTATCGTCAGATATAGACGCCCACTAGAGTGCTGCAAAATTTGAAATTTTCGCTCCACAATACTTAAACAATTCCAAATCCGATCCGGACTAACCTCTCAAAATTTGAACCCATTTGGTGAGAAACTGAGATGGCACAAACCATTTGAAGTTTGTATGGGAATTACTATGGTAAAACCAAGATTTTTGTTCATGTCTTTCTAATAATTCACCATATCGGTCTGCTTCAAAGCCTTTCAACTGTACTTGTAGGAAATTTTCCCAGCTACAACTTTGCTCAGAACCACTTTTTGATTAAATGCAAGGATCGAAAGTTATCAATGGTTCAATGCGCTGATGTCTTATGATCATGCTCAATCAACTGTTCAGCAGGCAACATTGGTGTTTCTGAAGCGTTGAATAGGACACAAAAATCATGGCTACTATGCCACACTGCAAAATACAGTGTTGCCTACAGAGCAGCTGCTTGATCATGTCATAAGTTTACCAATCTCTTAAATAATTAATAACTTTTTCCTGTCTCGTTTTACATAGAAACAATCTTCAGCAAAGTTGTAGCTGAGAAAATTTTCTATAAGAATGGCTATCGAACTGTTTCGCAGCTCAATACGGAAAATGACTAGAAGGCAATAAACAAAAAGTTGAGATTTCCCATAGTAATTTACATGTAAACTTCAAATGGCTTGTGCGAAGTCTGTTTCTAACCAAATGAGTTGTAACTTTGAGAGGCTAATCAGGACCCGATTTGAAACCATTTAAGCACTGTGGAGCGAAAAAGTCAAATTTTGCATCAGTCTAACGCCAACCCAACCCATTAATATTAGACACCCGGGTGCCAAGCTTCGCCGTTTCCCGCTTGCTGCATCGTCGTGGGATTCCCATAGAAGAAAGAGAAGAGCACAGCACAGATAGGAGGTAGCTGTACCGAACGCACACAAGTATAGGGCTAGAAGTATAGAGAAGTAGAATAAAGAGGAGTAGAAATACAAACAATCAAAACAAATCCGCAAAAGCATGCTTTAGTTTAAATACAATAAAAATCAACTTACCGTTTTCCGTTCGTAAATAAATGTTTTGATTTGAAATCGATGTAATGTTGTTGATCAGTCCTATTAAAAATTTAGAATGAGAGGAAAAAAGTATCTTTACGTTGTTTCGGGTCCGTGTAGTTATGTTGTTGTCTTCCGCGTGGTCGGAATTTGACTATTATGTTGCGTACCTCTTTTGCTGCAGCTACGCCTCTGGCGGAATTTAAGTGAAGCTACCGATGAGGAGAACTTGACGTGGAACCAGCGTTGCCAGATATAGCGATTTATCGGTATTTATACCGATTTCCAAACTAGATACCGATATACAGATAAGGTTCCTCAGCAGTGTTGGAAAAGTTCGCGATATTTCACGAAGTTCACCAAGGGAAAAGTTCGCGAGTTATAGTGGGTTTTCACGAACTTTTCCATCACTGTTCCTCAGAATACTGATTTTTAAGATTTTATACCAATTTATACCGTTTTTTTAATAATCAAAAATATTATTGCCTGTCTGCGTTCTAGAATTTTTTTTTGTGAGCCTTCTCATATTTTTTGAGCCTTCAACATTCTAAACAATCATCTCTAAAGATGCCTTATGCTTGAAACTCTTTCGACTAATGTTTGAATTTCCTCCCTACCCAGCTACCCAGCTACCCAGCAATCGAGAAATAGTCGATGGCTCTTTCCGGTAATTCCTAGGGAATCGAGAAATATTTTTTAAACATTAACTTCCTGAAGTTTCATCCCACTTTTCCAAGAGTTTTCTTCCACCTTACCCTGGAAGCTTCTTCACCCTTCGCTCGTATCATTCTTTCATCTTCTCCCGCTAGTTTTTTCAACTTTCCCTGAACTTCAAGGATGTTATCAGATTTTTATTGCGGATCCACACTAGCTGTAGGGACATTTAAGAAGTTCTGAAACTTCAGAAAAGTCCAGACTTTTGTGTAAGTTTCGATAAATTAAAGACAGTTTCACTTCTGTAAAACTTCGAAAACCCGGGAATTTCAGAAAAGGCCAGCGAACTCCAGTGAACTTAAGGAAACATCATAAACATTTTGGAAAGTTCACAAGTCAAAAGAATTTCAGGGAAAATCAATGGTTTTCAGGAACTTTAGTGAAGCTCAGACAACATCAGGACAGATCAATTAATTAATTAAATTGCTGAAATTATAAAGGAGTTCCGAGAAACTCAGGCAACTTCCGAAAACTTCAGCAATGTCCTGAAGGGCTCATGCAAATTTAGTAAACGTTATGGCAAGTTACATGAAAATTAGTACATTGTGAGA